GCTGCGATTCCCGACGAAGCGCAGTGCAAGTGCAATTTCATTTTTGCAGCGCAATCGTGCTAATTAATGAAATCAAAAAAGTTTTTCCTGTACCACCAGTGATCTAAGAAGTAATCCCTCCATTTCATCATTTGTTTCTTTCATAAGAGTATCAAATACATACTTCTGTTGTTCATTCCACAGTGCGAAGATTTGTTTGAATTATTGATTCTTTCAAAGTGTTGAGATCATACAGTTTTTCTCGATTCAACTCTTGGTTAAAAGCATCATGCATTGGAATTGGCGCGGCCAGGACTAATTGAATTAATAGTTTGTTTGACATCATCAAGCACATGTCCTCAATTGAAATCAATGCTTCGTTGTAAAATTTCTTGACTAATGTATGATTATGATTTAATGATTAAGAAATTGAAGATTAGTTGACATTTTCTTAACGGGTGACAGAACATAAATAATTATGATTAACTGCTATAATATACTTGAAAGTTGGCATAAATTTTCCCGAACTACATTTGTTACCCAAATGAAGTCATTTGAAAGCAATGTTATATTGTTGGTATTGTCAAAAGTGTATGAATCTTTCCTATTCCTGAAACCGAATGAGTACAATGGCTTGGTGGGGTTCAATGGTATCAAATTTCACTTTACCATTTGCGCAACACAATCCATTAGTTTCGTTTTATATTTCAATGCCTTACAATTGAGCAAACGAGTTCATAGAACCAATAACAACACTTGTAGTCGTAAATTGACACATCGTAATGAAAGCAGCTGATTCAAACTTCGCGATTATTTATTGAATGTAGCGCTCGCGCTTCACGCGTTTGTGATATCCGAATTCTTTCATGTTCATTTCGGTCGTCACGTCTTGTGCAGCATGATTAGATCGGTAAATAGCTTGGTTTGTAGCATTTCGGGTTCTTCTACCTAAATTGCTTCGTCTAAAAGAGGCATTTCTATATTATGATTATTTGTTAATAGTTTCGGAACGCGACATTAAATCTTCCAACGATGTATTCTGTGCTCCAACGCACACACGCACACTGTTTTATAGATATGATTGAATTTGAACTTTGTATAATGGTAATAAAGTGAAAATTGACTCTTTGACGTTAGAAATATACCTACATTGTTTAAACAACAATGAGTGCTTTATACAATAGCTATAAACCTCAAATTGACTACGTATTAGTTAGAAAACGTTTGTATAGGAAAACGAAAAGGGCTGTTTTTAGGGTTTTTTTCCGGCAATTATTCGAATTTTTCTCGACGTAAAAAACATTCTTGAACTTCAACGAACATTTAAAAAAAGAATTGGCCAAATTGGTCCAGGCGTTGTTGAGTTATGCGCTTACCAACACATTTTGCGATTCATTTTTAAAAGATTTCAAATTGTTATTGTATATCTAAATATTCAGCCTTTGATACGAAATGTCGATACGAAATACGAAAATTCGATCTTGTTCAAAATGAAGATATCGAATAGCATTCCCGGGGGATTATTCTTGAAACTGTTGCGCGATGCGATTCTCGCATAATCGCTAGATGCTGTCTCTGACTGATATGCGTAGAAAGAAAGAGACAGCGGATGGCGATAACTCGAGAATCGCAAGACCAATTTTAATGTTCTGCTCTATATCTTTCTAATGAAGAAGGAAAGGACAGATTTCTGATGAAATAGAAAAAGGTTTAAATTTTAAATTGAAAAATCTATTTATATTGTAAAAAAAATTGAAAATGTATTGAAATTGAAATTGAAATTGGAAAAAAAAAACGGACATAATTTTTCAAAAACCGGAGATTAAGCTCAAAAACCGAAGTCTCCAGTCTAAAACCGGAGAGGTGGCAACCTTAGCAAATTGACTCTTTGACGTTAGGAACATACCTACAACAATGAGTGCTTGTGCTACTAACAACAATGAGTGCTTTATACAACAGCTATCAAGCTCAAATTGACTCTACGTTTTAGTTAGAAAACGTTTGTATGGGAAAAAGAAAGAGGCTGTTTTTAGTTTTTTCCGGCAATTATTCGAATTTTTCTCGACGTAAAAACCATCCTTGAACTTCAAAGAACATTTTAAAAAAAGAATTGCCCAAATTGGTCCAGGCGTTGTTGAGTTATGCGCTTACCAACACATTTTGCGATTCATTTTTATATTATAGATTAAAGTGCCTCAGATTACTTCAAATTAAGTTTTTCGAAACTAAAAACAGTTTTTCGGAACAAGCCCTTAAGCACCTTTTTTTTGAAATACCGCTTCTATTTGTACATGAAATTTGTCATTTAGGAGGTATATTAAATATGGTACAATAATGGTCCGATTCGAGCCGCCGAGGAGAACGCTTCGTGTCGATGCAGCTCTTATCTTACGTTGAGGCAGCGTTGTCATTACCTCATGTCTCGACCTGCGCGGGCCGCCGGGCTCCAGTGTATTCAGAACTTAGATTAGTAGTTATTTATTATAGGGCAACGATTTATCTGTCAGAATGAGTGTGGATAGTGCCCCCTCAGGAGGGCTACTTGAAACTTCAGGGTTAATTGTGCAGTCAATGGAAGTGATTAATGAAAATCCAAACTGTCGTGAATTCTACGGAGAAGCTAAAATCCAAACCTTGGAACATGAAATAGTATTTCTACGACAACAATCGCAGGAACTTCAACGGCTACTTCAGCAAAATCCGTCCTATAACCCAAGTAGTCCAATGGATGTTCCAAGTGAATTACAAAACCCTTCACAAAATAGTGCACTCCATCCAAGTAAAAAAGTTCTCATTTAAGTGATTATAATAGTTCAAAACGTAAACGAGGAGTAAGCAGTGAAGAAAGTGCTAGTTTGCAAGACTCACCACCAGTGTATAATATCCCCACTCCTAACCCCTTTCAAGAGCTTGAGAAAATTAGAGATGATTCTTGTATTACTTCTAACTTAGATCCGGAAAAAATATCTCCAATAAATATAAGTAAAACTTCAGGTACATTAAAAAATTTCAATACATTTATATTAGAAATTAAGTAAATAGTAAAGAATGAATTTAGTACTAAAATTAAAAAGACTATGTTTCTACATTCTTCCAGACAATAGAAGACTACAGAAAAAAAGAAAACATTGTGATAACATTCATTACTTTACTTATCATTACTTTCTCATTATAGAGATTCATCAAAAAGAGTATTTTCAGCCATTATTTATGACTTTCCATCTTCGTACACTAATGAAGAAATTAAGTTAGAATTAGGTCAAATATTCTCAGTAAATACCGTTTACAGACTATTTGGGGAAAAAATAGAAGCCTTGGAAATGTATGCTGTGGAGCTCACTGACAGTGATCAAAGTAGAGAGATAATTAAATTACAAAAATTGTTGAATAGTGTTGTAAAAGTCAAGTTTCGAAACAAAGTTAACCAACCAATTCAATGTAAAAACTGCCAGTTATTGAATCATACACAAGCAAACTGTAAACTGGAACCAAGATGTGTTATATGTGTAGAAAAACAATATAACAGTAAATGTAAAAATCCTAAAATCTCTCTTCCTCGATTTGTAAACTGTTTCCAAGATCACACAGTTAATTATAGAGGATGTAGATTCTTCAAAAATAGCTATTCAAAATCTAGCTCAAATCCAATACAATTAACAACTCAAACTCATTTAACTCTCAACTACCTTCAAAACAGATACCAATACTACGTGAGATTAGCTAGAAATTCACTTTCCTCTTCTCATCCTCCTGTGATTAATAATTTACAGAATTTTTCTCAACTACCATCACTCTCAACAAATTCTTGAAAATAACTTTGTTTCATCTCCTCCTAATACAATAGATTTTAATAAATATATTCCAAGTATAACAATTAAAATTTTAAATATATTAATTTCACAAATTTACCCATTAATAATAGAGGTATTGCCAAAAATAATCAATACTAAATCACCATAAAATATAATTATTAAACTGAATTGCTAATGGACTATTTCGTCAAATAAATGAATTCAAACTTTTTCTAACTTTTTCTAAAGACTTATTACATCCTCCGTAATTAATCGTAAAAAAGGTTCAAAATGTATCTGTACTCAAAATATTTACGTATTTTTCAGAAGAACCCTTCCTGGGTATCCTTAGCAGTAATTAGTTCCAAACATTATTGTGCTCATAGTGTTCATGTACATAGAAATATAGTTCAAAAACGTTATGTAAATTATGTGAACCTAAACACCTTGAAAAGACATATCTTCTCAAATCAGGATAATATAACAATTTAAAAAAAGATATGGTAAATTTTCTTCGAGTCTTAATTATTAATTTTTTCAAGAAATATCTCCTCGTAGACAATTACTTCAAAAAGATGTTCAGTGGTGTTGTAGTGAAACTCATTCCATGGTACTCTTTGACATCAAAAAATTATATGCAACAAACAAGTAATAAGTTCTTTTAACCCAATTATTCCTGTATTAAATCAGTGTGACACTTCACAAGACGCATTGGGATGCTGTTTATTACGCAGCAAAAGGCCTGTATATAATGCTTCAAGATCGCTTAAGTCCATTAGGCTCAAAAAATTGAAAAAGGATAATTATTTTGTGCTCTAAATTATATATATATATATATATATATATATATATATATATATATATATATATATATATATATATATGGGCATGATAATGTAACAATACAAACTGATCACAAGCCATTAATTTCCGTAATCCGTAATTAAAAATCTATTAATAAAATTGAGAACAAAGACTGAGAGGTTTAAAATTAAAGTTGATGCCATATTGTTTTGAATTACACAGGAAATAATATGTTTATTGCTAATTTTTGTCTAGGTGTGGAATTCAAACATCTGAGAAATTTGATATATCTAAGCTTGAAATGGTTCATTGTGTAAAAGAGAGAGAATTTACGCGGAAGCCGCCCCGATGACGGTGGTGTTAGTGTGTGTTCACACAAGCCGACGCTTGCATCCGGCGCTGATAAGTAATCAGTGCTACACTCACATGGGTTTGCGGCCGGTGGCGGAGAGCACAGCGTCGCCGATCACCGCTGGCACCAGATGGAAGAAGAAGAACTGCACGAGGAAGAGCAGGTAGTTGCCGGTAATATCGGCGCATGGGTGGTACAGGTTGTCTGAGAAGGGTAGCTCGGCGCTGGCCTCTAACTCGATGTCGCGGAAGCGGCTCTGGATGATGCTATGTAACCCCACCCGCGCGGCGTGGTAGACGAGCGGCGGTCCCAGCCTGCGCAGCCACACCACGCACACCCTTCACTCAGGACGCAATTGGCCGGGGAGCTGCCGGTTAGATGGTTGATTATGTCATGGTTTCAAAGACGTCAACAGACAAGGTCATAGTCTAGTAAATGTAGTTCAGGTTTTTTCCTTGGGAGGTATGGAGCCTTACTCCTCTAGATGGTGAGATCCAACGTTCAACTGCATGTCGTATAGCAGAAATTTCTACAACCAGGTATCTCCCACTAGTGGCACATCGCCCCTACCACGACAAATTATAAACTCCAGACTGGTCTTCTGATATATATGGTAGTGTAGTTCATGTTGTGGGTGTAAGGGTAAGGATAGGAGAAGGAAGAGGAAGGAAAGATCGCGCGCAGTCTGTACCATTTGATAGGTAACTGCTCCGGAATTCCTGGTGCTGATCGAAGAAACCATGGATAAGTAACGATCACAGCAGCTGGTCGCTAGAATTCTCCTCCAGGCAGCGGCTGAATTCGACCTAGCTATCTAGCCAGTGTCGAAAATCCTACCAATGTTGGGACTCGAACCCTAGGACCTGATGGTTTATTCCCTGGCCGTTCAAAGGACGAAGTTTAACGGAGACGTTCTAGTTGCCTGAGAGAAAAGTTGTAAAGTTAGAGGATGTAACAAAATCGGTATTATAAATTAACAAGAATATATATATATATATATATATATATATATATATATATATATATATATATATATATATATATATATATAAGGTTGCCTTTTGTGTTTCGAGATTTGGCAACCCTGGTGTTGCAATCTGGCAACTGATAGCTCTATCGTAAAGTTGGATGTTTTGAGGTTATACGTACTCAGAACGTTTTGACATTCGAGAGCTATTTGTGTTGTTTACAGTAACGTAAAAGATTCATCTTGGCCCAAAAATGGAATTAAATCGTGAACATTTTCGTGCGATTATTTTTTACAACTTTCGACGTGGATTAACTCAGCAACAGTGCATGGATGAACTTAATTCAATTTTTGGCGATGAAGCTCCATCAAGGACCAGTGTTTATCGATTGGATGAATTCAATCGTGGTCGTAGTTCACTCCAAGACGAATTTCGCGAAGGTCATCCAAAATCAGTTCTTGTTCCGTAAACCATTGATGCTGTGCGTGAACCAATATTGCAAGATCGTCATGTGACCTATCGTGAGATTGAGTCAACTTAAGGCATTAATGGGACCAGCATACATTCAATATTGCATGAACTGTCAAAAATATTTGTTCGCATTGGTTCCCATACAATTTGTCAATCGCTCAAAAAAGGCCCGTGTCGATTGGTCGAAAGAAATTCTCAAAAAATACGATCGCAGTGCTTCGAAACACGTCTATGACATCGTGACAGGTGATGCATCATGGATTTATGCTTATGAGCCCGAAAGCAAACAGCAGTTGACTCTATGGGTGTTTCAAGATGAGCAAGATCCAACAAAAGTTCGCGCACGAAGCACTTCCAAACAGATGGTTGCCTGTTTTTTTCGGAAAAACCGTACATATCGCAACGGTACCACTAGAACAACGCAGAACAGTGAATTCAGAATGGTACACAACGATTTGTTTGCCAGATGTCTTCCAAGAAATCAGGAAAACCAACCGCCGAAGACGGATCACTCTTCACCACGACAATACGAGCTCTCACACATTGGGTCAAACAACTGCATTTTTGAGCACCCAAAACATGGATTTGATGAGTCATCCGCCGCATAGTCCTGACTTGGCACTGAATGACTTCTTTTCATTCCCGTACGTAAAAAACAAACTACAAACATAATATAGATACCATAATACATATATTTAATCAACCTCGTTTCTATTACTTTCGGAAAATCATTCATGGAAAACCTATCTCAATAACTCTTGAAATGGGATTCCGTATGCACCTTCTACTAGTATTACTTTTACTCTGAATGAAATTGCAATTTTACATACTGAACTTCATTGACTTTCTTCAATACTGTATTTAAAAAGCATATTATTTTCTAATCATAAAGCAGTTTATTGAATTCCTTTTCCAAGAGATCCTAAGTGTACAAAACATTTTCAATTTAAAGCCCAAAATGTTTCATCGCTAAGAATTTGAATACTGTTTTTTCTTTCTATTGGTTCGTAAATTTGGTTCTGAAAGGCCTGTTCAAGAACACTAAACACGTCTCTTTCAATTCTGTCTTTACGAACTTGGCAGAATGGAACATCACTTTACCGCTTCTCCCCCGACGCCAAGAAACAGAAATTCGTAATACTTAGAGTTTAGCGATCTTCTGAAGACGCCCCCCGTTCGCCAGCAAAGGTCGACTCGCGCGCGCGCCGCTGCCAAAACGCGCGGTCAGTGGCCGATCGCTTGCTTTCACGGTGCGCTTGCGTCGTCCCTCAGCACGCACCCGGACGTCCTTCCGTCTCCCGTCCCCGTTCTGTTGTCTCCTTCCTTCGTCCGCCAGATATGCGTAGCACTGACTCGTTTCTTAAGCTCTTTTATGTCACGAGTATGGCGTTCGTGAATTATACTGGATATAGTTCGTGTGCTAATGACATGAAACCATCGTAATCCACAAGAGTGACTCGTCTCGTCGTACAAAGTTCTATCCTCAAACAAAAAACCGGATATACTGCTGCCTAGCAAATATGCCTCAACCCGTTCAGCTTCATGAAATTATACTCTTTCTAAATATTTTCGTAGCCACTCCAAGAAACAATGAATCGTCTATTACTGCCTAACACGACGTAAAATAAGTTCTTTCAGTTGTAGAACAAATGTTCTCACAGCTCCCTAGTTAACCACTTATTAAAACACTACCACATCGAACGCCTCCTTTCTCCTGCATCACTTAAGGGATGCGTCCCCTATCCCTCTAGTCAGCATAGTCTACCGCTTTGAGCGAGCCCTGACACACACATATATATATATATATATATATATATATATATATATATATATATATATATATATATATATATTGTGACGTACCTGGGAAGCGGTACTCTCACGACAAAATAAATTATACAAAGGACGGGTACATTTTCGTGAATGGGCTTCCAGGGATTAGGCGCTGCATTGGAAGATGATCATAAGAAATTCTTTTGCGCATTTAAATACTTTAATAATAGAAACACTCTTTACAAAGATTATTTACAATACGCAATGCGCAAGACCTTTGGTAGTAAGTGCACAATCAACGCTACCTTGATGCTGTTAATAACCACCTGCTGGCTGGAGACGAGCGGGGCCGCCGTGGCAACGGCGGCGGCGTCTTCGGCAACCTTCGGTCCGCCCCGAAGTCCGTCGGGAAATCGCTCTCCCTCGGCGATCGACTCCGCTGGCCCCCCAACGCAACGGCCGATGAGTTCGCCGGAGTCCACTCCCCCCACCCGGTACAACAATGTCTCACTAGCACCAACACGAACGACGCGCGATTGACGCCCGTCAGCAGTTCCAGTCTCAGCAATCCCCCACAATCTCGCGCGAATGTTTGCACAGTACGGCCCGCTGCTGCATTACACCCGAGCAGAAATATAACACGTGTCCGTCGGCCACACGAATTCCTGTATTAATGTTTTTGATTTCGGTTCTGGTGCGCCCTTCCACTTTCACTAATCATCTGATTATTAACTTTCATCAAATCTAGCCTCTCACTTAACAGCCACATTCAATCCAAACTGGTCTTAACACCACCATAAATTTGTTTGATGCAGCACTGCCCCGTCGGTGTTTCACTCACGGCCTCTCTGCGCACACTGCCCCAACCGTCGCTCGCCTCGCCGTCAACCCCCCGATTTGACCGTTGGTGGCAGCGGCGGCGGCGGCGTTACTGCTCTGATCAATTCAGTACTTATTTTAATTATAATTATTGATCAACTTTGATTATTACAATACAGAAACGTTCTTCGTTTCAATATATATATATATATATATATATATATATATATATATATATATATACTGCTTGCTTCGGCGACAACAAGACGGGTCCCCGCAACACAGGCGCGCCTCTGATAAGGTGCGAAACAGTGCGACCTGGCACCTGCGGCCCGCGGCTCGACCGCCGGACTTCCGCTTCATGGCAAACGCGGAGGGGTCAGTCGTGACTTCATGCCTCCCCTTCAGGAGATGCCGGGGAACTGACCACTCAGCCCTTCTTGCAAAAGACGTCGAGGTGTTCGGATCTGGGCCGAAACCGAGGCCGGTGAAGATAGGGAGTGGCCATTTTGTTATGAGAGTGCGAGAAAGAATAGCTAGTTATTCAGAAGTGGGCTGTAGAGCGGTGAATATTCAAAAAGTTGAATTGTATTTACTTTGACGCAATAGAACATTACATGAAAACTGCAGACACTAGTAGAATGATTAGCAGAAGGAAAAGTAGTAGCCGCGTAAACGAGGGCCGTGAACAAGGCATTTGCAGAACTCTGTATTTATCAACACATGCCCAAAGTGTTTTAAAGAACGTCGAAATACACCGTTGGCAATAAGATTGTAACACGCGTAGGTGTGCTGCTAGTCCAGTGTAAAGAAGGTGGAAGACTGGACGTGGATTCTGATGCCGGGCGTGAATAAACGCGAGAAGAAAGAAGAGTGGACGTGGGTCTGGAGGCAGCAGCACGAAAACAGCGGTTTCGAGCGACATCGCGGACTCCTGGACTGCGGAGTAGCGGCCGCACGGCCGGGATTTCGATGGTCAGGCGTACGGCGACGACCGGAAAACGGAGGCCGGCACAATCTGCTGCACGACGGTCAAGGTAAACAGAATTTGTAACGAGAACTTAGGGCAAGCGGCACTGCGAGCACGCCAGCGCTGCAGAAGAAAGACTGAAGTCTAGCAATTTTGCATAATCCGGTAAATATCGGGGAGGACCGAAAAAATTCCCTTCCGGAGAAGACGGTGGCATCAAATCGATTGAGAGGAACATTCCATTATCTTACGAACTTTTATGAAACCCTTACGGTTTAGTAATGCTTCGAGGCCACAGAACCATTCATTAATAATGAGCTCAAAATGTCAAAATAATTTTGCAATAAATGTTGATTGTTGTTTGAAAAGAAAAGGCTGATATTTCATTGAATTGCCATCAATTCAGTCATTAATAAATTACACAAATTTTCCAGGAACTGTGATTTCTGTACAGAATCACACATCCACATGCGCAGGTATGGAGACAAATGTTGTGCGTAGAACTCATACAAGTTTTTAGAAAAAGAGCTAGCTTAAATATAAATCATTAGAGCAGTAATCAACGTGCATAGCAGGGCATTGAAATAAACAATAGTATTGAAATGATTCGGAAATTAAACTAGTTAGAAAGTTTAAATAGGTTTAAGAAAAAGATAAATGGATCATAATAAATAATAATAATAATAAAAATAAATAATAAAAAAAATCGCCTTTAATATAAATATTAACAAAGTGAGAGACACGTTAAAATTATTTGTGTAATTTTTAGAAAAAAACAAAGAATAGAGCAATATAGCGTTTATGTCATCTCATAGATTATATTTAACCCTGCCTACCAAAAGTTTGAAGAAAAATGTTGGAGCCGTTTTTGAGAAAATCATGTTCTAGTATTTTTTTAAAATTGCAAATATTCCACGCAATATTGAGCAAAAACGACATTATAAATGAGTATTTTTTGTATAACAGTATTATACATTTATAAGAGAATGAAACTACATTTTTCGAAACAACTTCCCAGTGATGGCTCGGGTATTTGGCATCGTGCGAGTAAACGGTGGTCGGCTGTCCTGTTTAGCTCTCTCTCCTCCCGATTCTTTTGCTATGATTGGCTGAATGTGCGATGACGCAATCATTCGTGACATAAAATCTAATACGTCATCATTTGTGCCGTAAAATGCCCGATTAGGAACGATTTATTGCAACAGAAAAAGTTCTTTTATAATGCTGGAATTCAAAAAATAATATTTAAATCCGTTTGGCTCCATCGCGCGTCAATTTTATACAATACAAGCAATAATAAAAGTAGAGCTTTACTTTCGATTCAAATACATTTATTTTTTTAAATACAAATAACAACAAAAATATTTAAGAGAAACAATGTTTGAACGCTGTGATCATGTAATCTCAATTATTTGAACATTAATAACATTTTCTAATTCAGTATTCAAAAGAACGCGCTTATTTCCTTGTGTGAAAAGTGTTTTTTAAGTCTCTTGCCAGTGACCAGCAATACCTCTGATAACGTTGTTCCATCTCCTTGATATCTTGATGAAATTTTTCATCCTGCTCCTCACTTGTCACAACCAAGATTTTGTGGAAAAAATCTAAGAGAAATGTAACTGGGCACTCATATTACACCCCTGCTCTTGAAACCTTTCAAGCATATTTTTTAGTGTTTTTATAATTTGGATACTTGGTTTTTCCTAGGAAGTTTTTAATTACTTTCTTGAGAGCCGTCCATTCTTATTTTTTGGTCTGTGACATTGTGTCTTAAATAAAATATGGTATCTTTTTCCAATCTCCTTTTCTGGGGCCCAACAAATATTCCCTCTTTAATCTCTCCATCAGATATTCCTGAAAATGTCTTGCATATAGATTGGTAACAGTTACCATCCTTGTTTAAAGACTTCACAAATTGCTTCATAAATCCCAATATTTTGTGTAAAGGAGGAAGGAGAACATTTTTTGAATTCACACGGGTTACTCTTTTGTTTATTCAAAAAATTACACAAATGTAATTTTTATAATATCACGTCAATAATATGCACATTTTCAACAATTTGTATACACCATTGTATTTGTGATTTTATGTACTTCAAATGAATTTAAATTTTTTGAAAATTCAAAAAATGTTCTCTGAAAAAGTCCTTCAAATTTTCAATTTACAGAAATGATTAAAAGTCATTTTCTTAAAAACACTCTAAATGTTTCATTGAAAATTGCCATTTTGGACGATTTTTCTTTAATCTTCCGCTTATAATATTACGGTTCTACTATTAGGAAACCGAAAAATTGACAAAAAAGCCAAAAATACAATTTGGGCGGCGATAGATAGCAGCTCGCATGAAGATGGGGCATGTCTGAATAGCTAGCCCAGACAAAATAAAATAGAAAAGTAATACGAGAACGTCTGTTAATCTGTTGCACCATTAGTTTTATTTGTCTCCCATGACGGTCATATTGACATAAGCGGCGATTTATTCACTTTATTATATTTATGAGTAAATGTGCTTTAAATAACGACATATAAAGTTTCTCGAAAACTCAACAGTTTCAAGCTCAACATTCCGCAGTGTCAAAAATGCTCAAACGGCATTTAATCGAAAAAGGTTCGAAATTTTCTCTTCAAAAGTTTCGTACGGATAGTGCTAATTATACAGTTCAAGATAATATATAATTAATTTGCTATCCTTTTATTTTTTCAAAAATTACACAAATGTATTTTTTTAAATATCTCTCACGCCGCTATAATGCCCAATTCCAGCAATATGTAAACAATATTGCATTTTTGAGTGAAAGTGCTTCAAATACTTCATTTGAAACTTTTTCAAAACTCAAGAATTGTCTTTGTTGAAAAGATCCTTTCGCATTTAGAGTAACGGTTAAATGACATTTTCTTAAAAGCCACTCCAAGTTTTTGTCACTCCAAAAAGCCACTCTTTGTTTTGATCAAAAATTTTCATAGTAGACGAGGTTTTATTCTTCTTCAATACCTTTTAGTAATATTTCTACCATTAGCAACCGAAAAATTTTTTAATTAAAAAAAGTGTAAATTAGGTGGGTGTAAATGGCAGCTTTGAAGTGGCTGGAAAGACAGAAATGCTAGCCCAGATCAAAATTAGAAAACTAACTAGTACGAGAAAGTCTGTGCCTTTCTGTAGCAACACTACTTTGACTATTAAATTTCAAACTGGTATGGTACAAATGAGTGTTTTTCTTATAATTTGTTTGATTGTAAAACTCGGAGAGTACCTAATGAGAGAAGGGCGAGTGAGAGGCTCCAGCGCATTAAAACGGGAACACGGGGCTAAGGGGAAAAAAACCCTATCAGAAAACCAAGGATGGAAGAAGCTCTTTAGGCATAGCCAGTTAGTCTAGGGGGGAAAATTCTAAAGAAATCCTACAGGACGGAGGCAGCAAGGTTGGCAGCCCCAACCACCGTGCTCACCCAACGCAGCGCTCGTAACGCGGCAACAGGACATATTAAAATTACTGATAAGAAAAGTTGCAATAAGCCGGGTCGACATGTTTATTGTTATAGTTTAATATTAAAGTGATGGATTTATGGATATATTAAAATATTATTTTGGGGAAAAGAATATTTATACGATTTATTTCCAGAAACTATTTTGAACTTTTGAAAAATGAAACATTCAGACATTTCAACGAAAATGATATCTACGTCATTTAAGTATTCTTCTATTAAGTATTCTCGACGTCATTCTTGAAAAAAATTTAATGTTGAAGCTTTATGTAAAAGGTCCCCCACTACGTGGTGAAACTACGAGTTTCGAACTCGGAGTGCCTGGAATTCGTTCAGATTGATCGGAGAATATAAACGACGTGTTGCCGTTATTCGATTTTTCACTATCAAGGACCCACAAAACATGGATTCTGTCCACACAACGTCTTAGAGGAGAGGATTTATTATTTCTATCGGAACAGGAACTGCATTTATTCGCTTTTTCTTTCAGAGAGACCCACAACAAGAGTTTGTCGAAAGTCGCTGTTTTGCAGTTGCTTTAGAATACATTATGCATACTGCGTAAGTAGTATGTGACGAATAACACCTTGGGTATTCTAAGGAATCTCACCCCTTCCTGGCGACCTCGCAGCTGCACATGACAATTCCCTTTGCGACGATGTCGCAGGGAACGTAGTCGATGTAGCAGTCGGGGTCGGCGTAGCATGTGTGCACCACGCCCTTCAAAAAGCCCACCATCAAACCCATGGGGCCGTAGAAGTTGTCGATCCAACCGGGGAACGGATCACGGGCGGTAGCCACCACTGCAACAAGAACAACACAATAATAAAGATACAAGACCTCTTATTGATTGATTGTATCCGAGCTTGCCCGTCACTTGACCCGTTAGATGGCACTTATTAATTTCTCGTATGCGTACGATTATAAGGAGTAATATTCGTGGTATAGAAAAATATGAAGTGTGCGACAAAGCGGAATATTTTCGGCAGAAAAAGATCATTGCCGGGCCCTGATAACGAACTAGTAGTGCCACAGAATGTCACAGACTTTCTCGTAGTTAAGTTTTTTAACTTCTTTGGGGTGGACTGTCTTTACGGTCCAGCCCCATTCTCATCCCAGTTGTTATCTATCGTCACCTAAAGTATTTTTTTTTTAATTTTCCGAAATTTCAGTCTGTACAACCGAACTATTACTTTAAGGACATTATAGAAGATTAAAACCACGTTCTAAATAGACATATTCATTGAAAAATTGTGACCCATTTAAAAAAATGGCCTTTAAACGTTACTTAAGAGTCACTCTGCCACACACACTCTCTCTCTCTCTTTCTCTGTCTGTTTATTGTCTGTTTACTGTGTTTCTCACTCACACACACACATACGCGCCATCTGTGTCGGCCTGTCTCCGTCACTCTCAGCATCCCTCCGTCGCTGTCTCTCTTCGTCTCTCTCTGTCTCCCGACCGGTTCTCCTGGGCCTCGCTCTATGCAAATGGCAACGGCCAGCGACAATTAAGCGCGGGTGGAGCGCAGTTTGAGGGAAAATTGAACCTGTCTCCGTCACTCCATGCATCTCTCCGTCGCGGTCTCTCTTTGTCTCTCTTACTCTGTTTCTCGGGCGCGCCCGTCCGGTTCTCCCGGGCCTCGCTTTACGCACACGGCAACGACCAGCGATAATTAGGCGCGGATAGAGCGCAGTTTGAATGGAAATTGAATTACAATAAAGCAAAATTTTGTCTTATGGCTCCATCAAGGAGAGTTAAAACAACATTAACAGCACATAAACCATCTGGGCAAAAAAAAAAGTGTAGATGTGCCAACTTTGATGGAGATCGGTCACACTGTACCGGAGTTTACCCCTTTTATATAGTATACTGACATCCACTTTTATGTATAGAGATATATAGCACTATAACTATAAAAAAATTAAGAAAATATTTGAAGATGTTTTTGAGGAAATCTTGTTTCGTAATTTTTTTAAAAATACTGCAATATTTTACGCAACATTTCACTGACACTACTAAAATTCTCAAAGAAATACCAAATTTCACTGTCTGAGTCTATCAAGTCTATCGGAGTCTATCAGCCCTGACTGATACATCATGACCCATTTTGTCAGTAAGCAAAATAATAGCAGTGGGCCACAAAGCCCGAAATATCTTTTCCTCACTAAATGCCATATGAGAGAGAATTTTCTTAGCCTCTTGTGATAGCTTTTCTTAGCCCTCCGTGATAACCAAAGAAGCTTCTCCCCCATCCGGGGAAGATTGATTATCATGAGCTTCTACATTCTATTTTGAGGTTATTTTTAAATTCACTTCTTAGTACCCGAGGTCTGTTTCTTATAATTTGGATCGTGCAAGCGAGAATGATGTCTCTTATTACATATCCTGCACTTCTTTTAACTAAGGAGGTGGTCTGTGACTGCACTTAACTCCTCTTGAAGGTGAGGAGTACTATTGATTATGATTTACAACCATAAATTTTAATATATTTACACAATAGTTATTTGTAGACATTTTTCGCCTAGCATTACATCACAGAGTTTTAGGAGAAATTAAAAAATGAAAATGATATAAGTCATTTTTTTAATTTAATGTTCGCAATGTATACATAAAATGAAAGAGCATCTTATGTTTTTTAATGTCGCAAAATATTAAGTTTCTGTCACAATTACAATACATATAATTTTTATAATAATAAATATAATATTTACATAAGTTAGAAATGATTAACTTATGTAAAACGAGTATTTCTTCGAAAAGTAATTATTTATTAAATTAATTTTAATATATAATTAAATTTAATTATTTATTATGAAAATATAAATTATTAAACAACATTTAATAATTAAAAAATAAAATATTATATTAAATAAAAATTGAATTCATCATATGTTTTTGACATTAAACCTGAAGATGGAAGTAATTTATTTCCGAAACGTTACTGTTACTATTATGTGTTACATGTAATATACTGATATAAACTGTTATTTTATAATAATTTTATGCCTTTAAAATGAAGGCCAAATGCAGTCTAATTTGAAAAGACTATAGTCAGAAAAATAGATAATAATTTTATGTACTAAAAGTGGCCACATGCCGTTTATGCTAAACGCTAGTTGCTTGCAGATTTATTACCACCGCCGACTCGGCACGTTCTGTGTGTGGGTCACATGTTAATTGCGCCCTGCGTGTCGAGTGAGAACGGTATTGATATTTCTGCTTAGTACACGTTTGACCTATTTGTTGCGTTCTAGTATTAATTACTATACGAACATAATCCTTGCAACACCGCGGAAGCGTGGAAACCATCCAAACAACTTCTGTATTACGTGTAATTAAGTTCCTCTAAACAGCCTAAGGCGGTATATTACTCTCTTAATAAGAAAGGCAAATGAATTGTATACCGCGTGTCAAATCGATGACCAGGACAAAACTTGGGCTCCCCATATTTACCCTGCGTCTTACTAAGTGGTTGTCTTAACGGGAATTCATGACATATGACATTTGCAATTCTCATGATTTGCAGGGAACTAAAGGATCACCCTGTTAACACAAGCAAGACCAAGAAGGCCATTGAGTCTCCCTTCAGCTATCTTCATAGCGACAACCTTACAATCCCAGCGCCACCGGACAATTGGAGTATACAATCCGAAAACTATGATGTGAGCTATGAATGTAACGTAAGTTCCGAAAATGACGTCAATGACGATCCAGAATCCGTTGAAATATATAGAATGTCATAGAACAAAAGATCCAGTTCGTGATTTAAACTTGTCGAAGAATCAGGCAGAACTGTCGGCGTCTCGATTAAAGAGTTAGAACTTCCTTCAGAAGGGAACTTAATTACTGTGTATTGGTGACAGGGACAAAATCTCCGATGCCTGTTACAAGAAGTACTGATGTTGATATTTTACTAAGCGCCTTGGGAGTTCATCATGATCCTAAAACAACAAAATTGTTTATAGAGTACTCTAATCTCAGTTTAAAGACAGGCTTATTCATATCAGAAATGAGACACCCGCTATTTCTCTTGCCTACGCTGCCCATATGAAACAAACGTATTGTTGCATTAAACTTTTGCTATCTTAAATACAATATCAGCACGCGTGAAATGTATACAGCAATTTGAAAGTTGTCGCGATTCTGTTAAGTCTTCAACAAGGATATTTTAAATTTTACTTTTTTCTATCTATTGGTCTAGCAGGTCTTGCAAAAATCATTTTGTGACGAAGTCCTGGCCTCAACGACATCTGATTCCCAGACAAACATGTAACTTCGGACAACAGATGTAATCCTTGTAATGCTGCACACGCATATTTTCCCGACTTGCACAATAATCTCGGAGTGATGGAAATTTTCTGAAAGAACAAATTTCCCAGTGAGATGAAAATAAAGAAGGATATATTTGTAGAGTTACCAATGAAAAAGCTTATAAAGAATCATAACTTAGAGGCAAGTTTGAATAGTGTTGAAAAGACTGCATGGATGTCTCTTCAAAAAGTCGTAACGGACATCCTTGTCAACGGAAAATCTGAGATCTATGAACAACTAGTTTCGGAACTCCTTCAAAATTATAAAGCTCAGGGATGTAACACATTATTTAATATACATTTTTTGGATTCACACTTAAGACTTAATTGATGAAAATCGCGGTGCAATGAGCGACAAACACAGCGAGCAATTACACAAAGGCATTGCAATGGAAAAATGTTATAAGGGAAAACGGAATTAAAATATGCTTACAGACTATTGCTGGACACTAAAAAAGGATATACTGAAACGAAATACAGCGAACAAACCTTCAAAATTACATTTTGGTTGAGATTAATATATGCAAGTAAAGTAAGAAAATAAATAATTTAACAACAGTACGTAGCCGATTGCCGATTACAAATACGCTGACAGCACTCCATAGTTCTGTACCATACGTCCACGTGGGTTTTATAATAGTTTTGTATAACATCACATTGTTGAACAGAGGCAGCTGCGACCTTCTGTGATGTATTCGTACTTTTAAATGCGGTTCTTTTCAGTTAGTGTGTAATCCGAGATATGTGACAGTTCCAGCCTCAGGGAGATCTGTATTATTTACGCTAATCTTCGGACATTGCTTTCTTCTTAACGAAAGAGTGGCATGTTATGTTGCGGTTGCATTTATAGTTACTCGCCATTTGTTGTTCAGTTCTTCTATTTTGTCGAAACGTGTAAATGTTGCGAGACGCTAAGAAGATCGTAGGTCGTTGCCACAATTGTACGAGGGCAGCAGACAGGTAGGTTGCCGGAAGCAGCGATCCACAGACCAGCACAGCGGTTCCCGCCACAATTGACATGAGCTCCGGACCAGTTCCACAATCCCATCCGGGTGTTCGAACTGGAACCCGGAGTCGGTGCTCGCAATACGTATATGAGAAAGAAAACTGGTGGTGCAACAACATGGCAGAGGTTTTCTCGTAATAGTTTTCTAATTTCTTTGGTCTGGGATAGCTTTTCGGTCTTCCCAGATACCATCTATCGACACTTAAAGTAATTCTCTTTTAAATTCTTATTTCTAGATTTCTAATAACCGAAATATTCCTGTATGAATATTAAAGAAGGCTAAAATTTCATCATATGTGGAACTTTTCGTTGAAAAATTTGTAGTCATTTATAAGAAAATTTTGTTTAAGCGTTATTGTAAATGTACAATTTGATGTTCTATTTCACAGAAAACAGAGTTTTTGAAAAGCATCATTGGGAGTAATTGTTGCACTTGGACTTACAAATACAATAGTGTTTACAAATTGCTAGAAATGTTCATAATAAAGGCGTGAGAGATATTTAAAAAACTACATTTTTGTAATTTTTGAAAAAAAACGAATACATGAAAATTAATTTTATCTTCTTGAACTGTATAATTAGCACTATCTGTACAAAAAGTTTAAAGAGAAAATATGGAGCCGTTTTTGAGAAAATGAAGTTTAAACATTTCTTAAAATTTTGACATAAACATTTTGACATAAAACTTTTGCGTTTTCTAAAAATAACATTAAAGGGCAGGTGGTTCGGGAATATCTGAAGCCACAGACGCAATACATACCCACTGACGGCCGTAAGATGCCCACGGGCAGGCGGGCCGAGTAGTGATCTACGATGTGCTCCGTGAGGTTCTTTGTGTATGTGTACGTGTTGCAGTAAGGACCCAGAATCCTGTGGTCATAAAAAAACAACGTGTAGTAGATAGCGTACATGTAGATACAAGTAAGTCTTAAAAACAATTTTACAGTCAAATAAAATTAGTCATATTTCACTATATATTTCATGAAAGTTCCAAAACGAAAGTGGGTCAAATTGCATTAAATATATAATATAAAATTATCTAACAGAAACGTTGAATAAATATTAAATGGCACATAGGCGGCCAATTTAATTTAAATCTCGCGCCATGCGTGCAACTCATTCATTTTGACAATTCTTTGAGGTTATTTAAAAAGAAAAGATCATACATTTAAAACGTGGCGCTTTCTAGATTAATTTGCCCCCAAAACCTGCGAATTCTCTTTCAACAGGAGCCAGAATTCTTTTGGTATGAAACTTTGAAACAAACTGAGGCCTTCCAAAAATGACCAATGAACTGCACTACCTTCAATGCTGCCAAGCAAAGAAGCTTTGCACATTATTATTTCCAGAAATCCGCTTTTTTTCACACAAAATGCGACGAGATTGCATTGTTTGATAATCTGGAACCGCGAGCATTGTAGTAGCGATCCACCTTGCTCGTGAAAAAAGCAAAGTAACACACATTTCGGCTGCATCAAATATTAGATTTTCAGTTGTATTATTACGTTTCGTTGGCCAATAATGAGACAGGTAGTACAAGGGTTTGGATCAGGGGATGAGGTAATTGGGACCAAAGAGGTCCAGGAGGATGGAAGAGAATTAGGAGATGTGGGTGGGGATGGGTCTTTGGCAGGAAACTGCCGAGGTTGTGAAAGGATGTGTTTTGCAAGCTCGCTACAGAGTGCATATTTTCCGACATGGTTCAGGTGAAGACCATTCCGGGTGAAGTGTTTTTACGAGAGAAACTTTAGCTCAAATAATTTAACATGTGTGTCTCTCAAATGCAGTGTCAATTGGCGTGTTTAATTTCTTTTCACAGTGTTGGTTTGTGGTACCAGAAGGGCAGAGTCGGAACTACAATAGTCGTGTTTTGGGTAGCACGTTGTAGTTTGTCAACATGTTCAGGTGTAAAGTGATTGAGTCATTCTGCCCTCCTATGATGATGATTGCTTTCCGTTTGGTGAGAGTTTTTGTGTGGGTGTCCAACTCACTGGTCACATCGGCAAACCTTCCGTTAGGTTTAAAAACACCCGTGACAGAAGAATTAGATGGGAGTTTCTCTCTGAGCACGGAGGAGATTTGTCCCCATGGCTTATCTGTTAAATCGGTACCTTTACATGGGTTTAGTGCGAATGTCCTTGTTTACTCGTGTGTCAGGTTGTGCAACTCTAAGTGTCTTTGTTCCCTTGCTCTTGCTACCCTATTTGCGTGGGTTTGTGGTTGGACGTGTCGATGATGGGAGAGGGTAGTGAGAATTGTGGAAGGCAAGGAAACTCATTGACATAATATAAAGCAGAAAATCTGAATTACTTCTGTTAACATAATATAAAGCAGAAAATCTGTTCTCTCGCTACGATTGGCTGAATGTGTGATGACGCAATCACTCGTGACATAAAATCGAATACGTCATTATTTGTACCGTAAAATGCCCGGTTATGAATGATTTCTTTCAACAGAAAAGGTTCTTTTATTGTGCTGGAATACAAAAAAATATTAGTTTACATTTTGGTGGACAGTATGGTGTCTAATAATTGTATGGAAACAGTTCTGTAGCCGAAATGATTTATTAATATTTTGTGTGGATACATTGTAGAAATATGTTGATACTGACATCTAATAAGTATGATTCTTACGATTGTTATATATTGATATATATTGTTATATATTGATATCGTTTACGTATAGTAGGAAGAGAAAAGATCCTAAAATTGATCGCGTCAGGCCTCTAGGTACAATTGGTTAAGAATCAGAATGATGTGTACATAATGTTAAATTGTTCCAGTAAGGTATTTCTTCTCTCTGAAATCGTTTTTTAAGGTGGTACGAACATAACCAATCTAGAGCAATACCACAGATTCTATACGAAGGTGTTTTTGAAAGTAAAGTGTTATGATCATTGACGTCAAAAGCTCTTGAAAGATCTAAACAATATTTCAATAGTTTCTTCATTTTGATACGTGGATGAGGCGACAACTTTAAGAAAAGAAATTATGGCTGTTTCTGTAGATTTTAATTTCGGAAACCCATGTTATCAACCTGAAAACGCGTTGTATTAACTCAGAAATGTTTTTCAATTTCATTTTCGTTGCCTTTTTTTTAAAAGCGGGTTAATCTAAGCTATTCTTCTTCTCATTACTATTATTATTATTATTATTATTATTATTATTATTATTACATATTGTGTTATTGTTTTTAATTGTAATTTTGTATTATTTTTTCGCAAAATGCAACAAAACACATTTGTAGAAAGAAATTATTAATGTTATATTTCTTCTTGTTAAAATACAACACGTCGTGGAACTCTCAATCATCACGTGTCAGTATCAAAAGCTCACTATCATAAATCCACATATAAAACGTGTACGCGCTTCATGTCCAATCTTTGTGAAAGATGTAAAAAATCAAGATTATATAAACCACTGTGTCTAAGATTATTATTTTTAATGACATTTGTATTTGTGTTTTTAAGATTATTTTAATTGAAATATACGTTTTAATGAAATACTGTAATTTTATTGCGGAATTTATTAGGGACAATCTACTAGGTATCAGTTCTGCCACTTTATACGTATCATAAACTACAACAGCTCAGCCTGTTTGGCTATTTAGGGATGCGTGCTCATGCTGCTTGCAATCCTTATGCGAGTTATAACACTTTCAGTAATTACACATAATAATTACCAAAAAAGTTGGATCAACTCCTTTACTAAAGAAATATTAATCTAATATCACTGAAACATACATCTCGTCGCAAATGGCAGATAACTCATGATCTGCAAACTAAAAAATTACTAAACAGATTAGCTACCTCAGTCAACCTGGATCATTACACATTCACCAAATTTAATAATTATTTACCACATGTTCAACCTCACTCTATCTTTGGTCTGCTGTTAAACGAATAACGAATGAAAAGTACCCAAGAGGAACATTAAAAATACTTATTCTACTGCGATCACAGATGCTGAAAAAGCTGATTATTTTGCTAAACAATTTCAACTGTCCTTTACTAACAATCTTACCGCTAACACTGCATTCGTGCAGAGTATATTACATAATCTCCAAACTCCTTTCTACACCGTACCTGAACGTATTAAATTTATATACCCCTCCGAAATAAGAAGTATTATTGCCAAAATCAAAAATAAGTATAAATATCTCTTGGTAAGGATCAAATCGCAAATTTTGTATTCGAACATCTTCTGAATACAACAATAAATTCTTTTACAGCGATATATAACGCTTGTCTCAGATTGAATTACTTCCTGAGATGTGGGAAATTGCTCTTTTTATCCATTTCTAAACCACACAAAAACCACAATAAATTTAAAAAAAGAATCATCCTATCAGTTTGCTCTCTATTTTTTCTAATATCTTTGAAAATGCTTTCCTATCTCAATTTATTTAAATAGCTAATGTCTTACATATTTGTCGATGCTTTCGTAGATCAATGGCAAAGTCGTTTGCTTTTCACCTGAGGTTCCGTGTTCGATCCCCGTAAAACCTAATGTGAAATTTGTTAGGACAAAACGAGTTTGCATGCTTTACAGGGGCTAGTCCAACTCCTGTGAAGCGTCCTAAACCAATAACTCCTCCCAGGTTTAAACTTGTGATGCTACAGAATAGCATATACTCTCATAATTGTTAGTTTTTTTTATTTCTTCGGTTTGGGCTAGATTTTTGTTCTCGCCACACTCTTGTCAGCCGCCGTCAATGACCTCCAAATGTATATATATTTTATTCCAAAAGTTTCAAAATTATTCGGTTTTCTAAAAGGACTAATGAAGAAACGAAAAGCAAACGAAAATATTAAAGAAAAAAGTGGATACATTTTTGAGAAACTGGCCTTTAAACATTTCTGAAAATGCTGAATTTTGTGCACATTTTCACAGAAAAGTTTCAGTTTTTTGAAACACTTTAGAAGAGAGCATTTAAAGGATATGTACTCCTAAATACAAAAATGTGAACAAATTGACAGTAATCTAAATAAAAATGACGCGTGAAGCTAGTAAAAATACGTTTTTTGTAATTTTTGAAAAATACAAAGTATAGTGCAATATGTCATCTCATAAAGTACATTTAGCACTACCCCTACCAAACGTTTAAAGAAAGTATTTGGAGTCAAGTAATTTACTACATATGAAAAGAGGTTTTATCTACTTTTTTCTGTATCATGATCGCACAATATTAGATTTCCTGTCAACGAATCGCCGTTCTTTGGTGCAGCAATAACTTGGAGGCGTTTTAAAGAAAATGTCAGGTAAACATCACGGTAATTGCAAAATTTGAAACTTTTTCACTTTAATAACTTTTAGTATACTACATATATTACTCCGAATACACGTACATGCACGACAAACCAAAAAATGCTATCTCAAATACTAAAGTTGTAAAAAAATGCCAAACAATTGAAAACTTTGCAAATTTTGAAACTTTCTGATCAGATTTTGAAAAATCTGATCTATTCCATCCTCATATATGTTCAGCAAGAAATTTAAAAATAAATTGTGGAGTGTGTATGATAAACGTTTGGAATCGTTCGGAGGCTTTACGAGAAGTACCCCCATAATTCAAATCATTTGTTTAAAAGTTGCAGAACCTTACGTCGGTTCAGATCCATCGTGGAATATTCATTTTGAAAAAACAACCTGTTCAGATCTCACGCACTGGTGTTGTTGAAGGATGAACGGCAGATGGAAGACACATACTTGGCTCTCCAGGATGAGCCGCGTCTCGGACAATTATGCTGAAGTTTCGGCCATCTTGCTGTGGCCATCTTCAAAGCTATACTGCAGCAGTATAGCTCTACGAAGCCTACGAACGCAGCCGTTTTGAAGAGAATAATACGTTTTCGGTGTAAAGGGACTCTCAATGTGTATTTCCATAAAAATCTCTTAGTTCATTTTTCACACCGTAAAAGAACTTTCTCTTTGCTATGGATGTTACTCCTTGTATATGCACGTAATTAGAATGTAAAATAATGAAATAGTTTCAATTTTCACTGACAAATGCAAATGTTTGCGTGATTCCGGCTATTCTCATACTGTCCGTTCCTACTGAAATTTCATGTTAACGACTTCTCTGTTTACTATACATGCGAAAGCAAGGTTCAAAGTAGGAGGCCGCCCACTATTAAATATTTGTTATTCGCATGTCACATTTTGAATGAGTAAATTTTTTGATATTCGTGGCCTGCCAATAATGGAGGTACTGTTTTTTAGTATATACTAGACTATGATTTTGTAATTTTTGTGAATACTGTTTTTGTTAAAATATTTCAATTATTACAACAGTGAACGAGAGTTGTGTATTTGTTGTCGTTGAGCATTGTGCGTACTACTTTTTGAAAAAATGTTTTGTGTGGTTTGGTTTAGCATAAATCTTTCTTCAATAGGCCGCTACTTAGTCCTAGAGAAAGAGCCAGGTCGTGTGCTTGAGGGCTGTGCTCACTTGGTGGTGAGCGCGCGCAGGGCCACCGGGTCGCTCTGGCCCTGCGCCTCCACCAGCGCCAGGATGGAGCGCCAGTCGCCCGCCGCCGGGTACAGCTTCTCCTCGAACTCGCACTGCCTCTCGTTGCAGAAGGTGGTCGACACGTGCACGAACGCCTGCGACACATGATTGATTGATTAGCGATTCCGCAGACGACAACTGCTAAGGGGATTAGTCCCGCAAGTGCAGTGTATAATTTTTATGGAGGGAGGTGGCGGTGCACTTCATCTGGTGGATTGCGAGATCCGGCGCCTAACTTTACGTTGGCTAGCGAGGTTTTCCCCAATCAAGGTGTCTGCCATCTGCAAAGCACACCCCAGCCGAGATAAGTTCTAATATATCCACATGTATTGCAGTGAAGTGCATGAAATAGTGTGTGAGGGTTTAGAACAAGGAGGAAGAAGGAATGATCGCGGGCGGTCCGTAGCTGAAAATGCTAGTTTTTTCTGAAGAAAAATGTTCACAATGTGCCGCATCAATGCAATACTTTCCTTTATGGGTGCAGCTAAGAGCGTCCACTCTTCGAGAGCGAAATGAGCGGTGGGTGGGCATACCTTGAGCATGGTCATGCGCGTGGCGAGCTCCAGCAGGTCGCGCGTGGCGCACGCGTTGGTGCGCACGGCCGTGATGAGCGGGTCGTCGAAGCGCACGCTGGCCGCCAGGTGGAACACCACGGACACGCGCTCCGCCAACACGCGCGCGTCCGCCTCCGCCAGCGCCAGGCCGGGCTGCGCCGAGTCGCCCTCCACCGCCTGCAGGCGTCCCAACGCCTCCGGCCGCTGCGCTCGCACCCGGTCGAACAGCTGCGCAACACCCGCACAGCGCGCGTCAGCCACTCGGACCCTGGGACCTGGCGCTGCTGCTGCTGCTGCTGGCAGATCATTTACACCGGTTAGCAAGTACGAAAAAAAAGGGGGTTACCTGAATAAAGATCATATAATTGTTTCTTTAGATGTGTGGTATGTACGCAGGCGCTAGTCAGAATCCCAAAGTTTCGACCTCTTAGACACTATACTAAGATCTGGATTCCCGAAACCGTATTTTTCATACTTTTTAAGAGCATTTCTTTTATACTCTATAACCATACTCTAACCATAAAAATCCTGATTCAAATTAATTTTAAAAAGGGTAATTGTGCTACGTCTTTTGGGTAAAGTATGTCTTATGAATAGAATTATAAAGCCATTTAAGCGAACTACCATCTTAATATCTTAATTATATTTAAATATAATACCTTTATTTATCTCACTACTGGTGTAAATGTCGTGACGAGTAGAACGGTGAAATTGTCTTCTCGGACAATTAGTAAGTACTTCTGCACGACGTGTCTACAAATAACGTTTTCAACAAACGCGCGGACGATCGAAGAGCTACGGCTTCGGGATACCGAGTGAAGTAATCCTGACAAGTGAGTATGATTCTGTTTCCGTGGCTGGACATTCTAAATGATCCGACGATATCCAGGACCACTTACTCAAACGGGTAAGTGTATTCGGTGACCGGTGCAGGGGGAAAGCCTCTTTCTTCCTTATGCTGTGTTCAAGTTCGGCAGGTATCGATATATTCCTCGGTGAATGTCTTTGATACTTCTAGGTGACCGGCGGGGCAGGACGAAATCCATCAAGTTGATTGTCGTTTCTCTGATGGGTAGGAGTGGCGTATGTGAAGAGACATACTAATACTGGCTTGAATTCGAAGTTCTAGTTGCTTCTGTTACCGTCTCTCTCCCTCCATCTTCGTATCTCTCTCCGATTCTTTGTCTATCTTCTTCTCTCCCCCTCCATCATCGTATCTCTCTCCAACTCTCCAACTTTTTCGTTTCTGTGTTTCTTTTTGTCTCTCTCCGCCACTCTCTTCCTCCGTCTCTCCCTCTCTCTCCATCTCTTCTTCCATCTCTATCTTCGTCTCCCCCTCTCTCCCTCTCTCTTCGCGTCTCTCTCTATCATCGTCTCTATTTCTCGCTCGCTCTCGTTCTCCCTGTTTGTTTTTGCCCCTCAATCTCTGTCCCTCTCCTATACATTTCGTTGCAGATTCTGTACGCCTCTGTACAAGTGAGGTAATAACGAGAAGAGTCGGACCAGCAAAAATATGATAGAATGTTGGAGTAGATCTCATCCTGGGCATCTCATACGGTGTAAGGAACGGTGTTTCTTTGGAGTCGGCCTCGATGTTGTAGTTCTTACTGCCCGAGAAGCTTCGTTTAGGTGTTATATAACGATATAGATTAAAATATTTGGCCGTGTGTAGCAGATTGCATTTCACAAAAATATTTAGTTTTGTTCTTTAATATTTTTTCTAAAATTTTCTGATATTTTAGTAGTTATTCTGCTATCGTATCGGACGGAGATGAGTACAACACATGAAAGTTAATTAGAATTTGTCCAGCCGTTCTTGAGTTATGGTAATGGTGTAACTAATCCGACTATGTATAAGCTAACAGATTTACATAATAAAAGGCGGCGAACAACGCACTCAGGAGATGATAGTGTGGGGAGCTGATGGCGTTACGTTGGTCCGAAGCGTCTAGTCAATCAGGTTATCCAAGGCATATATATATATATATATATATATATATATATATATATATATATATATATATATATATATATATATATATATATTTAATAATGTTCAAATTCAATAATGTTTTTGAAATACATATATGCATATGATCAATATCATTGGTGTGCAATTGTTTTTATTGTAATTAATGGATTCATCTAATAGATAAAATAATCGTCGTAATGATGGTAATTCAATAAAAAATAGTGTAATTGCAGGTAAAATAGTTCGTATAATTTCAATGGTTTGTCCTTCTAGGAGAAATCGATTGGTATAAGGGTTGAAAAATAATGTTATGATATATGAAACAAGTATTGTAATTATTAGAAAAATTATTAGTGTATGATCATGGAAGATGATCTATTAGGGGGGGGCATTTTGTAAATTTAAATTAGATCATGTAGCCATAAACTAAAAATGGGAATTCTTTATTAATAAATCTTAAATTCATCGCACTTTTTTGCCAAATTAGTAATTAGATAAAATAGGATGTTGTGAATAAGAGTGTTCTGCAGCGTGCAGATTTTGGTATCATTCTAAAGATCTGTTTAAATTTATGGAGAACGTAAGTTTTCGATATGAGATTATCCTTTCTCATAAGATAAAAATTAATATAATAATACCAATTAATGAAATAGTTGAACCTAGTGAAGATAAAATATTTCATGAGGTATAAGCATCCGGATAATCAGAATATCGTCGAGAAATTCCTACTAATCCAAGAAAATGTTGCGGAAAGAATATTAAATTAACTCCGATTAATATTTCTATGAATTGATATTTTTAATGCCTGTTAATCCTCTAATGGTAAATAGGAATACAAAACGTAATGATCATACTAGTGATGAATTATAAGATAATTAGGATCCATGAAGAGTGGCAAGACATCTCAAAATTTTAATTCCTATTGTTATTGCAATAATTAGAATTGCTGTAGTAAAGTATGCTCTATACCTACAGTGAATATACGATGTGCTCATATAACAAATCATAATAAACCAGTGGATAATATTGGATATTCCTAGAGTATCAAATGCTTCCTTTTTCTTCTTCCTTGACTAATATGAGAAATCATACCAAATCCTGGTTAAATTAAAATATTGTAACGTATTAGCCAGCGTGCTTCGTGGCATCTATTTGGGGACGCTTTGTAGAGGATTAATAAGAGGAAACTCCTCGCCACCGGAAGGAGAGAAGGGGTTTTCCGTAAAGCAAGAACGCGGAAACGGGAGACACAAGGCTTTGGGGTCTTCCGGTCTTAAGAAACGGAGACCCGAACCCTTAATGGTTAGCTATAGACCGCGGTGGGGGTGGCGTGACGTAGTAGGTCACGTGAGCCTCGACTATATAACGGAGTGCACAGAACCAGTCGGTGAGTTCTGGAGACAGTGGGAGAACCTCGTGCATTTGCACAAAACGTGGCGCCACGACGGTGCATCTGCGAACCGGGCTCGCGAGGTAAGTCAGTTGTTGACGAGTCTGAGGAGGACTTTGTGTCCTTGGGTGACTGCGATCATGTGGGAGTGATGCTGTGTGCGTGCTCCGAGGTCAGGAGTGGTTGAGTGCCACGATTCACGCCGATTCTCAATCGGATAAGATCGCTCCTGCGATCGAGGCAAACCATCCGTTGGTACGCCAGAACGGACTTTGTGTCCCAGTGTGACATCTGGTCACGGAAGCTAGGCTTTGTGCGAGCTTCAGAAGTAGGAGGGCGAATGCCAGAATCGAAACCGATCATCAGTCGGGTTTGGATCGCTCCCGCGATCAGGGGATAGTAGGTCTATCAGAGCTAGGGTGTAAGAAGGAAATTAATTGTAAATATTTGTTGTGTTTTCTTTGTTAATAAATATATTTGTTATATGAAAGCTCTGTGTCTGTGGTGGCTGTGAGTATCCATGACGTCACAATATAATCTTCTGAATGTCCAAACAATCAAAATAAATGATATAAAATTGGGTATCCTCTTCCTGTGGGATCACAAATTATGTGATTTCTGCCTGTTAGTATTATAGTAATAGCACCAGCTAAAACTGGTAATGATAATAATAATAAAAGGGCGGTAATCCCAAATGCTCATACAAATAATGGTGTTTGGTCTAAGAATATTCCAGATGCTCTTGTATTAATTAAGTAGTAATGAAATTTACAGCTCCCAGGATTGAGGACATTTCCGTAATGTAATGAGAAAATTGCTAAATCAACTGATGCTCCTGCATGGGCAATTCCTGTTGATAGATGTGGATTAACTGTTCATCCTGTTCCTGCACCATTTTCGACTATTCTTCTGGCTAATAGAAGGGTTAATGATGGTGGTAAAAGTCAAAAAATTATATTATTTATCACGAGCTTCTAATATTAATGGTACTAATCAATTTCCAAATCCTCCAATTATAATAGGTATAACTATAAAAAAAGTTATCCTAAATGCATGTGCGGTTACGATAACTGATCATTTCCAAATCTGATCATTTCCAATTAAATAACCTGGTTGTCCTAATTCCGTTCAAATTAGAATAGTTAATGATGTACCAACTATTCCAGCTCAGGCTCCAAAAATGAAATATAAAATTCCAATCTCTTTACGACTAGTGGAAAACAATCATCGTTGCGATAAAGTGGCTGATATTAGGCAATAGATTGTAATTTTTTTTATTAAAAATCATATCTAAATTCTAAAGGTGTAATATTTACTAAGTCCTGAAATATGAATTTTCAATTTCAGCTTTGAAGGCTAGTAGTTTAGTTAACTTAAGTCCTTAAATTTTGAAAAATATGATCGGATATAAAGATAATCTAAATAATGAATACTTATTTGTAAGGAAATTAGTCGAAAGTTAGGAATTTTTTGATTTGATTGTTGATAATTTCATTTTAATTGATTTACGTTAATTAGAAAAGATAATATTATTAATCGTAAATAATAAAATAAAGTAATTAATGTACATAGAATTATAATTAATACTATAATACTTTTTTCATTATAGCATGCATTTTGAATAGTTATTCATTTTGGTTGGAATCCTTAGAAAGAAGGTAAACCTCCAAGTGATATTAAATTAGTTGATGTAAAAAATTTAATTATTGATAAATTTCATTTAAAGAAATTTGGTTGTGATTTTGAGATGATCTATTTAAAAAAAAGGAAGGATAATTGTTAATAGAATGGAATAAATAATGAAATAGAATTGTCTTAAGTCTTCTGATATTATAAGTCGTAATAATATTCAAACAATGTGATTGA